TCAAGGTTTTAAAACAAGTGTTCAATGCTTCTATTTATTCTGCAGTCAAAAGACATAATCAACAAATGATAAACTTGTTATAGATCAAGAGTGAAGCAAAAAGTTAAATCCCAAAATATTGCTGAAACAATCCAGAGAAATCAAGTCAGACAACATCCCAAAATTTTAACTACCAAAGAAACCTGGATAACAAAACTCAAATCTTGTCATTTATTAAGTATTCAACTGAGTCATGACAAAACATAATCATCGTTATCATATCTTATACTTTTTTGTCTCAATTTCTTCTCAAAGTGCATCCCTAATTTTACATGAGTTGAATGTGGAGATTCTGCACACACACATATGTACATATGAGCAATCTGAGTTTAGAAAACCGTATGTGATTGCATTGTTAATAAGTACATCTGGATAAGATACAGCTGGAATGAACTATTAAATTAATCTTCACTAAAGCTGGTTGAATGGAAATCTTGAATAATCCAGTCTATTAAATTTGCAATTATTAACATGTGGAAAACTTTTAAACCGGCTACGGCTAACCTCCTTCCCAGGCTGAAGGAAATCAACAACTGGCAGATGACCTGAACATGTTTTACTGCAGGCTTGAAAGGAAACTATAGCCACCTATCTCCACAACCCTCATCTCAGACACACCAACAACAGCCAAGCCTCCTACAACTGATCCCATCCCATTGGGTTCACAACCCTTAGTGATCACAGAAAAGGAAGTGCAAGACCTATTTCACAGACAAAAGCCAGGAAAAGCTCCAGGCCCAGACAAGATAACTCCTTCTCGCTTAAAAGTCTGTGCTGACCAATTGGACCGCGTATCTTCAATACATCGCAAGAGATGTGCTATGTTCCTTCTTGCTTCAAACACTCTACTATCATCCCAATGCCAAAGAAGCCCACCATCAAGGAACTGAATGACTACAGACCAGTTGCTCTAACATCTGTACTCATGAAAACCTTGGAAAGGCTAGTGCTGTCCCACTTGATAACCATTATGGATCCGCTGTTAGACTCCTTGCAATTTGCATACCGAGCAAATAGATCAACAGATGATGCTGTTAATATGGCTCTGCACCACATCCTACAACATCTTGGATCTCCAAAGACCTACGCAAGTCCTCTTTGTAGACTTTAGTTCAGCATTCAATACCATCATTCCAGACACACTTCTAACTAAGCTAAACAAGCTACAGGTACCTGAACACACTTGTAAGTGGATCATAAGCTTCCTAACAAACAGGAAACAGCAGGTGAAGCTAAGCAGAATCACATCAGATACCTCTACAATTAGCACAGGGGCCCCACAAGGCTGTGTGCTCTCCCCACTTCCCTCTGTATACCAATGACTGCATCTCTAATAATCCATCTGTTAAACTACTGAAGTTCGCAGATGACACAACAGTGATCGGTCTCATTCGAGACAATGATGAATCTGTATACAGATGGGAGGTTGAACAACTAGCTTCGTGTTGCAACCAGAACAATCTGGAACTGAACAAACTCAAACCCATAGAAATGGTGGTAGACTTTAGGAGAAACCCTTCCATACTTCCACCTCTCACAATACTAGACAACACAGTATCAACAGATGTGACCTTCAAATTTCTAGATTCTACCATATCGCAAGATCTAAAATGGACAGCTAACATCAAAAACATCATCAAAAAAGTACAACAAAGAATGTTCTTTCTGCGCCAACTCAGAAAGCTCAAACTGCCCAAGGAGCTGCTGATACAGTTCTACAGAGGAATTATTGAGTCTGTCATCTGCACCTCTATAACTGTCTGGTTTGGTTCTGCAACCCAACAAGACAGAAACAGACTTCAGAGGATAATTAGAACTGCAGAAAAAACAATTGCTACCAACCTGCCTTCCATTGAGAACCTGTATACTGCATGAGTCAAAAAGAGGGCTGGGAAAATATTTACAGACCCCTCACATCCTGGACATAAACTGTTTCAACTCCTACCCTCAAAACTATATGGTATAGAGCACTGCACACCAGAACAACTAGACACAAGAACAGTTTTTTTCCTGAACACCATTACTCTGCTAAACAAATAATTCCCTCAACACTGTCAAACTATTTACTAAGTCTGCACTATTATTAATCTTCTCATCATTCCCACCACCCATCTCCTTCCACTTATGACTGTATGACTGTAACTTTGTTGCTTGTATCCTTACGATTTATACTGATATTGTTTCCTGATTGCGTATTTGTGCCCTATGACTATCATTAAAGGTTGTACCTTATGATTCTTCCTGAACGTATCTTTTCTTTTATGTACACTGAGAGCATATGCACCAAGACAAATTCCTTGTGTGTCCAATCACACTTGGCCAATTAAAAAATTCTATTCTATTCTATTCTATTCTATTCTATTCTATTCTATTCTATTCTATTGTTTGAGATGAGTACATATATTTTCAATAATGAATCTGGACTTACAAAGAAAGCATGAAATAACATTTTTGATTCTGGGCAATTTTTCATAGAGATAAAAAAGAAATGCTTCTAAAATGTCTTTTGAGTATTATGGCTAAGATGACCTTTGAACATTTTTTTTCTTTCAAAAGGTGACATCATTTCAAATTGCTTTTCAGACCTTTCTTTCTCTTTTGCAATTATTATCTTGCTTAAGTATCATGCAACCAAGTTATTTTTTGTATATTCATATTGCTGAGCCAAATATGACCTTAGGTTATAACTGTAAACTCTTTATTATTAGGACTCATACAAAACTGAAGCTCTCCTTATTATAACTTTCCCCATTTCATTCATAAATTTGATGGTAGGAGAAAGAAGAAGAAAAAAGAATTTAATACAGGCAGTAATTTCTATTTTATAAATGTAAAATCTAGAATTTATCATTAGCCCTATATTTTGCAATTAAATAACATATAATAAGAGGCGATTTTATTTATCAAAGTATTGTGTTTCACACCCATTCTTTCTGCAGGCTTTGTAATACCCTTATTAAGGGGTTAAACTGTAAGAGAAAATCCAAGTCAGTGCATCAACCGATCTGTACTCAGGCAATAACAGATTTATGAGAGAGTCACTGTACTATTAACTCTTGCAAAAAATATTTCCATTTGACTTTGTGTGACTCCCCCCTATGGCTATGCTGAGTCTTTAAATTTCATTTCATTTTTCAATGAACAAGTCTGGCAGGGCTTAAAATGTATGTTACTCATTCCTGTGGGGAAAAATGATACATGAACTAAAACACAATAAAGGAATTTGTGTGGCCGAGAATATAAACAGCAGATCATTCTAGGCATCAAATTCAGTTCTCGTTTTTTCATGAGTTGGCTTAAAGCTACAGTCATATATGATATGCACAAAATGCTTCCCTGCAGACTTCTTTTATCTCAGGTACCAGTCCACCTTCCTGTTGACTAGTAGTTGACCAAGCATTGAGAGCATAACTACATCCTTGTGGATACAAGCAAATGCAATTTTTGAACTGCATCCTGCTGCTGCTACTCAATAAATGTTTTAGTGGTTGAAAGGCAGGGGACTGATATTAAACCTGACAATTTCTGGCTTTGTTACTTCCCAAGAATAGATGATAGAGTCATTTGCTTATTTTTGCTTTTACTTTACTTCTTATTCAGAGTTAGTAATGGAAATTATTTTAAAATATTTCTTGAGATGCAAATAGTCCCTGCAGATTTTATTCTGCTAGTCGTTGCTGACTATAGGGGTAGAGCTCATCTCCATTTCAAGGCCATTGAGCCAGCGATGAAATGTCTGAAGACATTTCCACAGTCATGTGGCCAACACAACATCATGCAGCACTGTTACCTTCCCACCAAAGTAGTACCTATTAATCTACTCGCATTTTCATGCTTTTGAACTGCTAGGCTGGCAAAAGATGGGGCAAGGACGGGAGCTCACTCCATCGTACGACTCCTCGGGTCTGTAAGTGGGGGAGACTAAGAGAGAGTACAAAGGACAAAGGTAGAGTGAGCCTGTCTCCATTGCATTTGAACTTCCTAGAGGCTGCTGGGAGGAGCTGCTGGCTGTAAGTGGGGGAGATTGAGACATTACTTTGGAAGAAGAATGTCAGATAAGAACAAATGTTAATTATTCACTCATGTAATATTCTATTCAGAAATATATAGTTCTCATCCATGATCAGATTCATCAGAATAAGGGGGTGCCTATGAATATTAGCTAGATATTGGGGGTTTATATATTATTTTTAAAGGAGAGACAGAGGGATCTATCACTACCCTCTGAATTACTAAATGAATTACTAAAACTGAAAAGGGAGGACTTGCAATAAATTCCTCAATTAGTTAGATGCCATTCAGTAGAGTTCCCTATTTAATAATAAATCATAGCTCTTAGAAGTTTCTTGGAAGTAAGATCATCACCTTCCTTATTAAATGTAATAAAAGAGATAGCAACATGATTTCTGTCAAGTCCCACACAGCTGGGCAAGATTAAGGAACTACAAATGTCTGTAAGGTATCTTTAATGCTAGTCTAATAAATAGCAGTATTTTTGAAACTGTAAGAAGCATTTCCTACCTTCATTTGTAATGAGTTCATTAAGGAAGAACCTCTTTGAAAAGTTTGAAAGGTTTCTTTGCAGGTTTCTTGCCATACGGGCTGAGTTGCTCTTTATAAGTTAACTACCAAGGAATTTATCTTCTATCTCTTTAATATTCTATTTTTAAAAAAAACTTTGATTTCCCTTCTATTACTTTCCTAGCCTTCTTACAACCTTTCACAATACCCTTACATTGATTATCCTTCTCAAATATCAGTTGCCACTAGAAATGAGAAAGGATAATGGACAATATCAGGACAACATGTATATTTCTTCACTGCATCTTTTAGCAAGAGAACATTTACATCATATTGATATAATGTTTAGGAGTGATAGAGGATGAATGGGAAAATACAAGATGCTTACTGGGTGAGCTTGAGACACTTACCATCTCTTACCATCTCTCATCTTAACTCACCTGTCATCAAGATGAAACAGAGCCATGGATGCTGCCTTAAGTTTCCTGGAAGAAAGATGATACAAAATGGTGATTGAAATGCTGATATAGAATGGTGATATAAAACTAAAACACAGAATTGTTGTGTGTTTTTTTAAATACCAAAACCCTGATATCTTCTTCAGTCTGACAAACTCATTATCAGCATGTGTCATTTGGATTGCTTTCAGCTAGTTTTTATCTGAATGGTAGCTGTCCACTTATACAACAAATGCCCTGATAGCAAAACCTAATAACAGAACCTCTAAGCATAATCTTTGAAAAATCTTTCAGGACCAGCTCCTTGCCCAACCTATGGTCACTAGGCACGTCATCCCTATCTTCAAAAATGGTGACCTATCTTCAAAAAGGGTGATCTCTATCTTCAAAAAGGGTGAAAATTACAGACCAATATCTTTATGTTGCGTCACCTGCAAAGTCATGGAATCAATCATAAACCAATCCATTACCCTTCACTTAGAGACAAACAACCTATTCTCTAACAAACAATTTGGTTTCAGAAAAAAGTTGTCCTGTAATCTGTAACTCCTACACTGCAAAAAACATATGGACTACACAACTCAACCAGGGCAAAGCAATAGATGTAATTTACATAGACTTTTGTAAAGCCTTTGATTCAGTGGTACATGACAAACTACTTCTAAAACTAAAATCTTAGGGCATTTCCAAACCCCTGCATAATTGGATAGCTGCGTTCCTGTCAAACAGGCAACAAGTGATCAAAATAGGGAGCACTCTTATCAAATCCTGCACCTATTAACAGCAGTATCCCCCAAGGCTGCATTTTAGAACCAACACTCTTTATACTTTATATAAATGACCTTTGCGATCATATTATAAGCAACTGTTCTGTTTGCTGATGATGTAAAACTATTCAACACCACTGACAATGCTGCTACCCTTCAAAAAGACCTTGACTATGTGTCAGAATGGTCAAACAATTGGCAACTCCAAATCTCAACCAACAAATGTTCTGTCTTACACATTGGCAAAAAAAAAATCAGAACACAAAATACAAGCTGGGCAGATACAACCTCGTAGATGACCCTCACTTTGTCAAGGACCTTGGAATACTCATCTCTAATGATCTAAGTGCCAGAGCCCACTGTAACAACATTGCCAAAAAGGCATTAAGAGTCGTTAACCTAATCTTGTGTAGCTTCTTCTCCGGTAATATTACACTACTAACCAGAGCATACAAAACATTTGCTAGACCAATTCTCAAATACAGTTCATCTGTCTGGAACCCACACTGCATATCAGACATTAATATAATTGAGTGAGTCCAGAGATATTTCACGAGAAGAGTCCACACTCCTCTGCTCGCAACAGAATACCTTATGCTACCAGCCTTGAAATTTTGGGCTTAGACAACTTAGAACTATGCCGCCTTCAGTCTGACCTAAGCATAGTATATAAAATTATCTGCTACAATGTCCTACCTGTCAATGACTACTTCAGTTTCAACTGCAATAATACATGAGCACACAATAGATACAAACTTAAGGTAAGCCGCTCCAAACTCGATTGCAGAAAATACGACTTCAGCAACAGAGTGGTCAGTGCCTGGAATGCACTACCTGACTCTGTGGTTTCATCCCTAAACCCCCACAACTTTAACCTTAGACTGTCTACTGTTGACCTCACCCCTTCCTAAGAGGTTTGTAAGGGGCGTGCATAAGCACACCAACATGCCTACCATCCCTGTCCTACTGTCTCCACTTATTTGTATCCATTTCATGTATTCATAATTATGTTTATACTTATATATGTTATCTTATACATGCTTAACAAAAATAAATAAAATAAATAAATAAAAATTGTTATCCAAAGACTTTTCAAGTTCTGGGCAACTCTTTCCTTTTATGTTTCACAAAGCTTCTAGCAAATTAATGAAGGAAATAGAACAGGTGTTATTTTGTTTAGTAACATTCAGCATCCTCATTATTTTTGTAACAATATGAAGAAGGAAGAAAACAGAGACACTGAAGCAAATAATACTGTGATTTGATTATGACTGATTATTACTGAAATGCCAGCTTTGCCAGCACTTTGAGATGCTGCCTCAACTACAAGTTTAGCAGAACCATGAGGATTCATAACTAGGAAGACTGGCTTTAGAATCCATTGTTTTGAATTTCAGCCTGGGTAACAATTTCAGCTCAGATGTTACCCCTATAAATGGGGTTAATTTAAGTTTTAATTTCCTAAGTGTCAAAAGAGAGTGGCTTAATGGATTTGGAGATATTTTCTATTGATCACACATCGTTCAACCTCTGGTGTTCTGTATTATCACAGTTTATTTCTGTGATGAAGGAAATAGGATGAGATTAAAGAAATCTTTTAAGTGGTCCACAGAGGAAGGATTCAAGGCAGTCTGTTAGAGAAATACCAGAGTGTATTTTATTAGAGAAACTTATGTCTTTCTATGGTATGAAGCAAGAGTGCAAATTCAGATAAATTGAAAATTAAAATAGTTAAGGGATAATTAATCTCGGTTGAATGATCTCTCTTATGTATAATATCACATGGGTTCACAAAACTGTTTATTCTGAGGTATGCACAGATTGCTGGCTCAGTGGTCACAAATATGTGTGGATCCAATGTGCATTTTCACACATGCAACATCCATAGGCCCATTAATCTTTTCTGGTGACATACTTTGCATAATATATTTAACATGCTCATGTCAAACCCCAAATACCCTTTGAGAATTCTAGGTCTTCGACTTCCGGCGGCGATCCCAGCGCGTTAGGGACGAAAGGGGCGATGCTCCGCTCCTGAGTTCCTAACAATCCCGCATCTGGAGCCGAAACAGGCGTTATTGATCTCGTAGTGATCAATAGCTTAAAGGGGAACATCTTAGGACCTCAGAGGAGATCGCAACTTCTCTGAAGGTACAAGATTAAGCCCTTAATCCAGAGTGAGGAAAAACCAGCCTTACGGGACTGGCCAGAGGCGCTGATAACTGTATAAGAGGGAAGCGAAGATTGAAAACTATAAGAGGTCATCAACAGAAGACTATTATCTAGAAAAACCCAAAAAACTACCTGATAACAAGAAGCAGCGCTGGTGGAAGAGAAACCCGAAAAAAGAAAGAGGATAAGCGGCGACGGAAGATAGATCGGAATGGAGCCATTTTGAAAGCAAAGTGACAGCGCAAAAATCTGAACAGCTGAGTGTACAGTGAGAGCGGAAGAACGGAAGAAGGTAATTCCTATGAACACTGCAACGAGAATAGTGAATAATTTAAAAAGATTTTGATATTATTATTGGACTTTATGAGTGTGGACTGGATTGAGCGGAGAGAGTTGGACAAATAAGAACAGAACGTGCAGCACTGGAGCGAGCGGAGAGAGCGTGTGCAGTGTGGAGTGCCGGAGATCGGAGGAGAGGAGAGGAACCTGGACGGATTTCTACAAATTGTATTGGATTTAACTGATGTGGAGTGGCCAGAGTGGATTTATAAATTGATCGTATTGGATTTTACTGATGTGGAGTGGCCAGAGTGGATTGAATTAGATAATTTGAAGAAGAAAAAGTCTGTGGGAGAGTGCGGAGAGTTGGGACAAACCCCGGTAAAATTGATTGGAGTGGATTTATACAAACTATCTTTTAGTGATACTTCTTGCGAAGATTAGGATACAAAACTGATACAAAGTGTGAGGGACTTTGATTATTTGACTACTAGAGACTGAACTGTTTGGATTGAACAATTTAAATATTGACTAATACTTGGTGAACCAGATGATAAGGACTTAAATAGAGGAGACAACATTATACTCTTGGGATCGGATGTGGATTCTAACAACAGGAATACAGAGGACTATAGATTAAATTGGATCGTGGAATAATCAAAGTGAATAGGGTGACTCAGACCTTTGGAACCGTATTTGGTTGGAAGAAAGATAAGTTTACATAACACCAAGAAAGATAAAAGATTATAATTAATGGACAATATATATATGCTTGGCTTGATTTAAGTTTATTCTACTATATATTATAAGATACTAGACCCGGAAAATAACCTTTAATAACTTATTAGTTTTTTTCTTAAGTAGTTTGTCTAATTTGTTTATTTGAAATTAATTAAACATTTATAGCATATTATCTTCAATTATATTTAATTAATTTATTCATATACAGTAAATGATTTTAAATAATTAGATAGAACTATAATAATTAAATTGATATTGATACTATTTTAGAACTATTAGAATAAAATACATTTTATTTTGTAAGTAATTGAAGAATAAGGTAACTAATGAATTGTTAGAAGCTTACTTTTTCCCCGTTGTTTCCCCCTTCTCTTGCTTCCCCCCCGCCTTCCTTTTTGCTGTTTTCCCAATATCGTATTATTAACCAGAAATACTCTGAAAAAACCTTGTAAAAATAATCCTGCATCTAGGTTATAAACATTAGACCTGAGAATTTTATGAAATTGTGGGCAAAAATAATAAGCATAATAGATATGGCAACCTCAAACATACCAACTACTATTAAATCAACCAAGAAAATACCCCCAACCCAAACACTATTGGTGGCTTCCCCGGTCCAGCAGAAGACAGGGGAAACAACAGATAAAGAAAAGACCAACATAGGTATTCAAAACATCCAAGCTGCCCTTGCAATGATTCAGGAGGGAATGAAAAGGATGGAAGATAAGATGACCCTGAATCATGATGAAACCAAAAAGAACCATGAACAAATGCGATTGGATGTAGGGGAAATTAAAGATGAGATTAGAAATATAGATGAAAAAATAGAGAAAATTCAACAAAATATAACCGAAAACGAACAGAGAATCCATAAAGTTGAGGAAAAGGTGGAAGTCACAGCTACCAGGTTGGAACAGATGGAGAACCAACAAGCAACAAGAAGTCGAGACACAGAAGACGCACTGACATTTCTCGAAATGGAAAAGGCATCTTTCTACTTAAGATTTCAAAATATAGAAGAACAGAGAGAGGAAGACTTGGGTGAAATTATGGTTGGAATTTTGGCAG